CTCTCTCTCTCTCTCTTCTTCATCGGGCTCAAGGACACCAAAAGGACACAGCAATTAGCAAGACGAGACGGCAGATAAAAGCATACACGTGTACAAAATATTGACCATATGCCGAAGTCTTTCGATCTCTCCTCCACCAAAACTATCAGCAGTACAACTGTTGTGTTCATCTGTCTCCATTGTAATAACCCTGTTCAGAAGTAGCCTGGGGCCCAGAACTCAGCCCCAGGCCACGCAGACCTGAGAAGGTCTGCACTGGGCTGTGTGACCAAGACACACCCAGGCCTGAGTCTGTCGAGTGTGGCTGTGTGACCGAACGCTGCACACAGGAAATTCAAGAGTCAAAGTCAACTGTAGAGTCAAAGGTACCGCACCCAGGCCCTGGGTTGGATACACTCACTTGTTGTGCGCAGGTACCCAGACAGCATCCAGGCCAGAGGGAATTCGGTTTCAGGCCGATCTGAGCCCTCATTCGCATTGAGATCTGGACGGCCGAGGGATACAGCATCCGGGGTCCAGATCCCGCGTCAACACTACGTAAGAGTTGACTTCCTGGCTTTGACATGCATTCTGTCTTGCGTTGATGCTGACTTCACGCGTTGACTTCAACGCTGGCTCCACGCTGCTGGCATTGTAACTTGGCGAGGCGCTGCTAGTACGGCATGGTGGCCAGCTTGCTCCTGTCTTCTTGGCATGCTGACGTGGCAGCTGCCATGCGCCTTCGCTGATGTGGCTGCTGCCACGTATAGGCTGACGTGGCTGCTGTCCACGTGTTCTATTGCGGGGACTACGTAATCAGCATTGCTGTTCTGTTTCGTCGTCACTTCAGGAGGAGATCAGGACTGTGGAGAGTTCGAGGATACATACCTGATGGTCTTCATGTCGACATTGCTCCAGATGCTGACGTGGAACTGATTAGGCGTGCCACATGGCACATTGAGGATACTCGAATACTCATTCAGACTATTGATTGTTGAGTTGGCAGTAGAGGAGGAAGCCCGAAGCAGGAGTGGGCATTATACTTCCTCTCCCTTGTCTTTTCTCCCTCCTCTCTCTTCGTCTGTGTATGATTACCTCACCTCATTCTGTCTGGTTACGATTTTGACTTTTAGTAATCATCAGCCGATGGACATTTATCTGGACTTGCATTGTTGACAACTGTCTCACGATCTGGGTTCACTACACCATCTTCTCTCACATTCGTCTCCCTTCTCTCCTCTCACCATCTATGGCTATCTTCCAATGTGCATGATCTGCCAGGAAGGATTTGGTCTATGTATACTCCCCCTCCTGGTTGCACTGTATGTGACAATTTGTGTCTTTCTTTGAGTACAGATCCGGGCCGGCCGGCCGACCAGCGCCTGGCCGGGCGGGCGGCCCGGTTGGGGGCCGGGCACCCCCAGCACACCTTGTTGGCTGGGGATTTCCGACCCCGAACCGCCAAGATTTGGCCTCCCCAGGGCCTACCGGGTCCGACCACGCCCAGAAAACGGTGCGTCGGGCCCGTGAGGCCTGTTTTTTTTTTTGAATTTTTGACGGCCCTCCGGCCGTCGATCATCCATGATCAACGGCCAGAGGGCCGTTTGTTTTTTGGATGGAAAACCAAGGCCCCGTTTGAACAATCGACTAGCTGGGGCGGCCTGCATCGGCTGTCCAAACGGGGCCCCTTCTCCAGCCGCCTGCGTTCGTCGTTAAGCCGCCCTCGCTCCTCGCGCTGCCCGTTGTCGCCATCGCCTGGGAGCTGCACTCGCCCGCCATCGTGGAGTCGTCCGTTGCCCATCGCCAGCGTCGTGGAGTCGCCCGTCGCCTGTCGCCAGAGTCGTGGAGTCGAGGAGATTAGCATGGCCGCTGCGCAAGGATGACACGGAGAAGTCGAGAAATGGTCCCAAAAAAAAAAGTTTTATAAATTTATACCTGTTGCCTGTTGCGTAACAGGTATAAAAGAGGGGTATATATATTGAACAGGGGTGAGGGGTGGTACATCCTTCCGGCTAACAGGAATCAATGAATGCCGCTGACTCAGGGTCCCTTGGCCATAATGAAGGGAAGCGTGGAGTGGGTACATGATGTAAGGGACACCGGACCCAGTTTCCAGCTTTTGCAATAGCAGATTTCATTGAAAAAAGAAGAGAGGTTTTATACCTGTTGCATGAGTGTATCAGTGGAAACGTTTCTCACATGTGTGTGTGTGTGTGTGCGCGCGCATGCCTGTGTGTTGTCACGTTCGGTATACACAACTCCACAAAAAAAAAGCATGACTGTGTCAGACAGTTTCGTCGGACTTTCACCGACTCATCAGGAGGTTGAACCCTAATGAACGTATCAGAGGTATAAATTCTCACTTGTGTGTGTGTGTGTGTGTGTGTGTGTGTTTTGTCATGTTCGCTATACACAACTCCACAAAAATAAGCACAATTGTGCCAAGACTGTTTCGTTGGACTTTCACTGACTCATCAGGAGGTTGAACCCGAACAGTCTGTGCACGATGCATTGCATTCGACTAACGATGGGTAAGGACTCCCCACGTCGCCCAG